ATAGAAAGTGAAAATCACTGTATAGAAACTGGAAAAACTGTTCTGAAATAGGTGAACTTTGAATTCTTTCAGTATTCATTACGATAGCCTTTTGTCTGCATTGGTCATTTGATATTAATAGAATTGTGATGCTGATCCAGAGAAAGTCCATATGAATGCAACATTAATACTTGCTTGTAAGTTACCATCATTACACGTGTCACATCTGTAGTGGTGGCACTCTCACAATTATATTACATTTCTAATGTAACAGACTGCATATAATGAATACATGTTGCAGACCCCTTTCCTGTTATACAACAGGTGCTCTGTTGTAGTTAACCATCTAAAGACATGATTTTAAGAATGATTTATTTGCATACAAAATTGGTGTTGATAAAGTAACTAAGTTCTATGCCATATGGGATTTTCAGTTTTACATGCTGCATTTCAGATCCACATAAAAATTCTCATCAAGGTTCTAGTGGCAAACTGTTAATTCCTCAGGTATTCATTAAAATAACATTAATCATGAACTCTGATGTTCAACTTGATTTTTTTCAGAAACTTTATAATTCAAGTGAATCAGGATCTATAATTAGAGCAGAAGGATAGAATTTGGCCTTATGTTATAATAGCACTATCAATTCACTTTTTTTTAGGTATTTAAAGATGATCTGCTTTAGATGTGAATCCCATACTCCAGCCTGCATGGAATAAGAGATTCATGCATCCATTTCTCGGTTGAAGAATGTTTTGCAATACTTTGTAAGAAACACGGTTGTTTTTTTTGTTTGCATTCAAACTTGTGATGGACTTGAGAAAGCTGAAAAATTATTCTGCTTTCTGGTGTGCTGAATATTGTCTTTAAGTAGCTCCCAGTGGGAAGTCTGATCACTAAGTCTGTGGGTTTTCAGATAATATCTATGCTTTAGATGACTAGATGGATGTAATTCAAACTACCAGAAAGTCATCAGTCTGTCACTACTAATTATATGATAATCCTATTTCTTTGTCAAATATGGAAGTGAAAAATAATTCTATTACACTGTCATTCATTTGTACTAGAACAAAGAAAAAGTGACTTTTTTTTGTCAAAGTAAATTTACTTTTTACAGGACTTATGAATATTAAAAATTTACATGACTTCAAAGGGCACTGAGGAAATTCATAGAGCTATTAAAACACCATCTGTGGCTTTCTAAGTCCCTGCCCTACAAATAGCTGATGTCTGATGGGGCTTTGTGGGGATATATTGCTGCGTGCATTCTTTAGATCTCAGAGAAACCTTTTAATTACGTCATTTGACATCGATTTTAGTTAAGGATTAAAAATAAATAAATTCACAGTTTCTCATTAAAACTTGCCGCAATATCATTAGTATCACTTTTGCTGGAGTTATCAATCCCATGCTTTTCCAGTTAAAGTTTCTAAAATCGTTAGGTGGAAAATAGGGCTGCAGGCATTAGTGTTCTGAGTTACATTAATGTCTGATGTTGGAACCTACGTGGTTGTAAGTAGAGCAAGGTAGTACACGACTTGTGAGGCTGGTATGTTTGTTGTAGTTTGTTGTATGTTGCCATTTATGATGCATCTCAATTGATATCTAGCTTTTATTTTTATGTTCCTTGGAAATAGTTTGTATAAAATATTATACTGTAAATTTTGATCACTTTTTAATTGAAACAACCTTTTGCTTATTTGTATTGATGTTATTTTGGTGTTTGTAATTTTAGTATACTAGAATGTATTTAGGGTGTTTTGCAGTATGTGGTGATCTGTCAAATTAATCATAAATCTTCATCTGTGCATTGTTCCTTAGGGAAGGCCTCCATTCAAATGCTTCTGCTCAACTTCCTAATGGCTGTTTGAGTTCTGTAAACTACTGTATAACAATGATCCACTGATGGAGAGTGTGAATTGTTACTTATTGATTTGTTTAAAATTGACTGGTTTATATTTATAGAGGTTACACTATTCACCAATCCATATATTTTAAGCATTTCTTGATAGAATAGTTTACCCAGATATCATATCACTTACCTGAGAATGAGATTAGTATTGTTAGCTGCATCTATTTCTATTTTATGAATCTAATTACAAAGGGAAATGCTGTATCAAACTGACTTGTAAGTATTTGAATCCACAGGCTTAGTCTATTTTCTTCTTGCTATATTATAGCTCTAGGGCTTTTTTTATATGATACATTTTTTGTTCCTTGTGGTCCAAATCAATATATAGTCAACAGTAATCTTCTGGAAAGCCAATGTTCATACACCTAAAGTAGGATCTAAGAGTAAGTCTTTTATCTTGGTTAGCTTTACCGAATTTTTTTTTATAGTATCTTTAGTTTAGGAAGGTACCTACCTGACATTTAATGTCCTTGTAGACTTCCATCTTGCTGAGAAAAGCAAGTTCCAGATTGACATAGTCCATTAAAAACAAACAAACAAACAAAAAAAACCGAAACAAAAAACCCCAGAAAACCACGGAATTCAGTTACAGATATAGAAATGCTCTTCATTTGGTGTGGATACGTATGTATTCCATTTTGTGACCAAGGGAGCTGTGTCTCTGTCAGAGCAGTGAAAGCAAACATGAGATCAGAGAGTGGCCTAACTGGGTCACAGGGGGCTGAGCTCTACAAATGCCCAAGGAATTGATTGAGATAGTGCTACTGCTTTTTATGTCACCCTGTTTTTCTTCCATTTTCAATTGGTATCCTGATTTAATGCAAATCTTCCAGGAGGGATATAAGACAAGTCATTAATATATGCCTCATTATTAAGAGAAAGTAGCAAAGGGAGAAACATTTGTGTTATGTAAAGATGTTTGTGTATACACAGTTGTTTCTTCAACCAGATTTGCCAACAAATAATTCATCTTAGCATAAGAAAGATTTGACGAAAAATAATTTATCTTAGCATAAGAAAACTCATAGCCCTAAATTCATTAGAGTGTCTAATAATAGAAAATATTCCTGTTGTACAGTTCTTCACCAACTAGAAGTATTTGGAGCCTTTAAACACCTGTGTACTTTGAGTAATAACATCAGTGCCAGAACCAAATTAACGCACTGTGAGGGCAGGAGATCAAAGAAAAGAATGAGGATAGAGTAAGAGTAACTGAAACAAGATGATGTTGAAGCCTAACGCTCAGACCAACTTTGACCAGAATGATTGAGTATTAAACTTTAAAATAACTTTGAAATAAAGCAGTTCACTTCTTCCTGGAGTATGAATGTCACTCAGCTCCAGAATTATGCCTGCATTTTTTCTCCATTTATAGTTAGCAAAGTATTTTCAAACTGTGAAATTACAGCACTGAAGACAATGAGTAGAAATTCAAGGATACGCATACTAAAGATAAGAAACTGAAACGTTGAGTTTTAAGATCAGTCTTTGAAAGGCAAGTAAAGTTTTGAATAGCAAATAACTTATGCAAAATGTTACAAAATGTAAAACGCTAAATAACCAATACAATTTTGATGCTTCAGAGTTGCTTTAGATTTTGAGAAAAGAGCTGAACTGTAATTTTAAATTTCAGTCTTCTGCTTTGAAACTACATGAAAATGTGGTGGGATAAACATTCAGAAAAATGTATTGTGGTTATATAATTTCTCTTTATTATAAAAAGTTGCTTCACCATATGAAACTTTTTTCTCTTGTATTTTGGAAGGCTCCTGTTCCCTTTTATATTTCACCCAGTCAGCATGATATAATATGAATCTAATTTCTGTAATCTTTTATGATTACATCTTCAGGGTTGTGTTGTAGGAGTTATACAGTATTGAGAAGTCTTGAAGATTCAAAACAAAACAATGGGATATAAGAATACTTAAGTATTAAATGGTAAACAATTAAGCAATGTAGTAATCGTTAAGACTTAATACTACATTTGTTGTATTCAAAGATTTTTTTTTTTCTCTTCTCTTGATTCAATGTGTTAAAAGACTGTTTACCTTCACCATTTGGTCAAAATAAATATTTTTCTTCCAAGTAGAGGCTTCTTGAGTTTGAATAATACTTTATGTTCCAGAACTGGTATAATTCCAACTTTTGAGGGCTTGTTTCTGTTACTGCATCTGTAAACAACTGTCTGATAGAAGAAGGTTTTGGCCCTTGTATCTTTACACTTAAATACCAATGCTGATTTGACAGGCTATCATTTCAGAACAGGTTCTGTAAAGACAGCTGCCTGTTGAAGCCTCCTTTTCATTTTGTCTTGCAGAACAGTGAGACTTTACAAAACTTCGTCAAGAATGATTAACAGTTCCACTTATAAACTCTGTTCTTAAAATACCATTCATCATTACATTTCTTTGATTTTAAAAATAAGTCTGCATGTATGTCAGGGAAGTCCAAGGAGAACTGTGAAATTTTTGTTGGCTTTCTTTTATAAGAAAAATTGGGTATGTATTTCAAGAATTTCTTTGATGTCTGAATAGTTAAATCATCCTTTTGGTTAATACATTACTTCTGGAATAAGTAGATAAAATTCTACACTTTAAATATGGTAAAAATGGTGCATATTCTGCAAAGGACAGAATTTTAAGCTATAGGTTTCTGGGCACAAAAGCAGTAATAAAATGATCCCTAAAAACAGAGTAACTGAATAACACAAGAAGTAACTTTTGTTAATTTAAAACTTTAGAAACTGAAACTTGTAAGATGTAATTAAATTATGGTACTGTACATACCAGCTGTTCTTGGTAATTGAAACTTTACAATATGAAAAATACATTACATCTGTACAGTTTATACAGGCAGGTAGGATGAGTTTTGAAAAAAGATTCATTTCAAGGATCATACTTTGAAGTCAAAAAATACTGCACAACTTAACTAATTACAAATTGTAGACTTGAAACAATTAACCTTTGTGGATCTTTTAAAAATTAAACAGGGATCCTAAAATCCATATTATGACGTCTTCTCACTTCTTGATATCGTTACACAGAATTTGGTTGCAGCTTCTGCTACAGGGAAAAATAAAAATCGCCACCACCACCAACCCCCCATAAGTTAAGCCAGCTGCTGACTGTGTTCCTTGATTCGTGCTGCTGTTGTTATTGTGCTCAGATCCAGATCAGTTTCTAGGTGTGTTTCCACTGCTTCTTCTTGGGTGTTCGAGTTGTAGGCCTTGTGAGCAAGCAGTTCATGATGTACTCCACAGTAACTTATTGTGGGCTGATCATAGGCAAGAAATGTTGACACATTCATAGCCAGTGGTATCTGGGGGAAAAACAAAGATGAAAAACAGCCAGTTGCCATGGCATAATCCAATTCTTCTTGCCTGAATCTGATGTTGAGATAATGGTCTGTCTAAAACACTGAGTAAAGGTGAATGTAGTTCTATATGTGAAAAGATTTTTTTCTTTCTCTCTACCCCTCTATTCCCTCCACCCCAATCCCACTCTGGTCTTTCCTAGGATGTTTTAGGCCTACTAACTATCACCTTAGATCTTACATGAATACAAATGGGTTTGAGGGTGTGAGTGATACAGGAATCATAGGACTGTATTAAGAAGCAATTGAACTCAATCTATAGAATATAATCAACTACTGCTAATATCAATTTATCAATGAAGAGAAAGGCAGGTGACCCAATTGGGGATAAATACAATATTTGAATTGAAATTTAAATGGCTTTTCAGGTTAAAAATGGCACTTGCTTGAGTTACTTCAGTGTGTGCAGTATCTTTGGTCTCATGGGAAATACCCACCGAGCAGCATGCTTCTGGTTACTTGTAGCATCACCACGTTTTTGAATCTAGCAGCTTTCAGTAAATGTAGGGCCATACTAGATGGTAGTTTGAACCACTTTTGTGCTATGGTATCTGTAAATCTCTCATTAAGCAGATTTGGCTCAAATGCTTTAGACTGAAAAGTTATTACTTTTTGACTGCTTTCTTAGGAATTTTCCACATGGTTCAGCATAGGATTACCTAAAATATTGCTTATAATACATGAAATTAGAATTTTTTAATAAGTATTTTTACTTTTAGTTTTGTTCATATTAGAGTAATCAAAAAGATTAAAAAGGACACTTATGTAGAATGCATAATCTGTTCATTTTAGGCAATTTGTGGTATTCAGCGCAGTTATAAAATTTCCCATATTTTACTTCTGGTATACTCCTCCTCTCTTGTTGCATCTTCTTTCCCTCCCTTAAGTATGTACAGCCTTTTGTCTTTATTTCCTGAAGTACCCAGGTTCTGACTATTTGCAGCATTTCTGTGTTTTGTTTTTTTTTTTTAAGAGTTTGTAAAAAAAAAAAAAGACTTCTGGTCACCCCAGTTCATACCACAGCTCATTTGTAAACATAATGAAGGGCTGCTACCAGCTGCTGAGTCTCTCTCCTTATAGTCCTGGTCATAGTCTCCCTGATTATAGTCCTGGAGACATTAACCCTCATGACATGGAAATTAGATAAAAAATAAATAAAACCCATCCCTGTCTGTATTTCCCTTGTATTTTCCTATTGTTTTCCTTCTGATAGTGCTAAGTGTCTGTAAAAGTTCTGCCTTTATATACCTCCAATTATTTAAACTTAAAAAAAATCCCAACATTAAAGTAGTAGTACTGTAGCACTTGTATTGATAGCTCTCACCTCTTTGACTACAGTTTCATCACTGGTGGTGTGTGAACTTCAGATTGTTCACAGTTCAGGCTTAGATTAGGTTAGCATCCGAAAAGACTAGGCTTATCTCAGCTCTGCAGTTTGAAAGCTATAATGTACATTCAGGGAAGCATCTGTCCTGCGAGCTGAATTTCATTGCTTAGTATTAAATTTCTGTACAATGTCAGGGGAGAAAAAGTTCCAATAACCTTATATTTTTCTGGTAAGAATATCTAAAACTTCAGGCTTGTTTTAAGTAAAAAATGCAGCTAAAAGATGTGTATACAAAACTGTGTAGCAAAACAGAATTTAAAAATTATTAAAAAGTCATCATGTTCAATTCTGACAGGAATTTAATCCAGTTTTTGGCATGTGAATGTTTTTGCATGTCTGCTTTAATTCTCATAGGAGCATGAAAGCAAAAGTTGCCACATATCAAAATTAGCTTTTTTAAGAAGGAAGGAAGAGATAGTTTGTTTTTGACTTCTCTCTGGCAATCACGAAGAGCTGCAAGAAGCAGGATATTTGTTTGAGATAGCAGAAGTATATTTGCTGCTAAACAGATATAAACTGATAGATGGGGAATGCTTCTAACAACAGATAAGTATCTTGGTAGACAACAAATATGGGTGAATTTCTAGCAAAAACATGCAGTATTTATTGAATTGTTGGTTTCCTGACAGTGTTTTTATCTGATTGCTAGACCTTGGCTTGGCTGCTTGACCTTGGCTTTGATAAGAAACAGAATTGCTTTTTTTTTGGTATTGCATATAGACTTAAAGGAAATATTTCCAGTTTTTGGTATTTTCTTAAATGTGATGCATATGTGGTGTTCAAACTCCCTGGGAGTGAAATTCAAGACTCAGTCATAGAACCCTGGAAATGAAGGCTGTGGAAACTAAATGCTTAAGGGCGTACCTGTAGATCTGCAGTAGCGTAATATAACCATGGGAAAATATGATAGGGAAGAGAGGGAAGAGGAGTGTTATCCATGGAGATCATGGATAGAGGGAGCTGAGAAAATGCAGCTCATGAGCAAAAGGGTGGATGAAAAGAACAAATTAAATCAAACCCTACAGTGGAATATGAGAATGAAATGAGGTAAACATGGAAGTAATGGAAGCGATGGAGTTGTGACATAGAATTCTGAAAATATATAGAATGTCATTATAATGTAGGCATGAGAATACAATACATTAGTATATGCTCAACATATGAGAATTGAACCTTATCACAGAATTGTAGGTATGGAAGGCACCTCTGGAAATCACTGAGTCTAACCCCCTGCTAAAGCAAATTCCCTTATAGCAGTCAGTGAAGTTTTGCTATTGGCTTCAGTACATAAGTAAATAAATAAATGGCATTGTAAAACCATGAAGGCTTTATTAGTATGAATAAAAATTAAATGCATTATTCTTGACTACAATGAAGAATCATGTTATTTCAAATGACAACACAAACCTGATAATTTTCCATTGTTTTGACTTTGTGATACATTTTGCACATTATTTAAATTTATCAGAGGTTAAATTTTAAGTAGTACTATTTTAAAAATTTTTAGGCATATAAAAAGGAAAAAGGATTTGGAGAATTAAAATGCCTTGAGTTTATTAGATAGGGAATAGATTAGAATAAATTATAATGAATGTATTTAAGAACTCTTACCTAAATTGGCTCTTCCATGAATCTCAACAACTTGATTTCAGACTTTGAATTTCAAAATGAAAGCCATTTTTATCTTTGTTTGGGAAATCCTTTTGAAATCCTAGTTTTCCTGTTTGCCAAACCTAGGAACCTCACTGTTGAATGCTGCTCTAAGCAAATCATTACTGAAGCCTTTTTAATCGTGTTTACAATTCAGCATTTCCCAGATATCTTTGATTCTTCTCTGAATAACTATTTTTCATTACCTTGTTCATTTGTAAATGAGTTGTCTTGTCGTTTTTGCCTCTTGCACAGTCCCCTCTTGACTTTCCAACTTGCTTAGTTCAAACTTCATGAGGCCTTTTTCTTCAGCATGATTAGAAACCCTTACCTGTTCTCGTGAAGTACGCTCTGTCCTATTTCCTCATGTTTCTCATCTGCACATTTCCTATCTCATTCCCTCCTTTTTGCTTCAATTTCTACCTTGCACAAAGGGAGGGCGGAGGAACAGTTTTCCAGATTTTTCCATTTGTCTAATGTTGTCATGGTCCTCCACAAATGCCCTGTTTTCACATGAAATGTTGCAGGGGAATGTAATGCCAATCCCAGATTTTATCACAGAACTTTCATAACATTTTTTCCTATGTCCTGTTTTCCTTCCCAAGGGTGACTAATTTTTACCAAATCCTTCTTGTTTGCCCTGTTGCACTGTCATTTTACTAATAGCGGTGTAACAACTTGGTTTTTACTTTCTCTTTCTGTAAGATAGAGAGAAATACTGCATAAGAACTTAATCCAAAACATCAGCGCTGCTGATGTATAGCATATAGCAGTTCTGTGAATTTTTGGTCTCATCTGTCAGCAGCTACGTCAGCTCATGCTGGCAGACTAAAACCAATTTTATATGCACATCCAAATATAAGTTAGAAGCTTTGCAGATGCTCTCTTTCTCAGCTGTCCATAATATTGATTACTACACAAGACTTAGCAACAGTATTCATTCCAGCTTCTTAGTTGGCTTCTCCTTGAAGCATTCCTTAGAAAGTATTATGCCAGGATGGCTGCAAGGTTGTTTAATATCTCCTCTCACTGCCTTCTGCCCTGCACACCTACATTTAAATTCTCTGTGATTTAGACATGTCTTGCTTGTAACAAGTCCCTTATTTCATCTCTCTAGTAGCATATGCAAGGGCTTTCTCTGAAAGCCCTACAGCTGCCTGGTATGAGTAGTGAAAAAGAAGCCAATTTCTTTCACTGTCTTCTTCAAGCAAGCATTTACTTAGTGCTGTGCCATGAAACAAGGGAAAATTAAACTCAAACTTCTGTTGAAGGCGTAGATAAACCTGTTACAGCCAGCTTGTGAGAATTATAGCGTCACAATTCAGATTCTCTTATTTCCTCTCACAAATTGCAATTCAACCATGGGGGAAGGTTACCAGTAGATACTTTTGATGATGGTGGTGTTTGTATATGCTGTGAGTGACCTTATTGTAGAGAAATGAGCAACTCAGAAATTAAATTCTGAGCCCTTTGAAGAGCTGTAAATGATGGGTGCCTGCAAAACTTGCCAGTCACTTTTAAGGATCTTGTTTTTTCTTTAAATATAAATAACTTGTATATTCTAAGGTGGTTCTTTAGAACTTGTGACTTCATATTTGAACCTTTTAATGTCCATACTGTGATGGCCTGGGAAGGAGCAGTATGTTGTTAGATCAATTGGTCAGCATGCTGACAGAAACTTCATGAGGCACTGGTGTTAATTTGCCCAATTTTACCTCTGAATGGCATGGAGGTGTTGTACAAGGGAAGAAAGCACAAAGGGATAACATTTTCAATTTATTTTCTGCTTCTTTCAAAATAAATTCCTGCTCACTCCAGGCTGAAGTTAAAAACCTATAGAAAGGCTTTTAACGATCACCGTAGTTTTCATCAAATGACAAATTGTTTTTTGTGCAGATGTTAATGCTCT